GAGAAGGTGTGGTGGGGAGAGCCACCGGGGGAGGGGGCGGTTGCGAGGGAAGCAGTTGGGGGTGGGGGCTGCCGGCGGTCACACAGAGGGGGGCAGGTGAGCTGCGGGGCAGGGAGAGATCCGGCTCTGGGAGGAGGGGGACAGAAGCGTTTGTCTCGCGAAGGGAATCAGTTTTAACAGGCGCGCGAGGTTCGCTGCAACAGGTTCCGTCTCCCTGGGACAACATAGCTTTGAGCGAGTGTTTTGTGATTAAAATGCCGATTCCCCTACACAGACCGTGGTAGTCCTCACTGAGGGCTAGTCCCATAAGTGTCAGGTCACCAGCAAGGCCCGTACCAGTTTGTTTCCCCATGCAGAGTTCTTGTTTTGGTAGAATGGGGGGGGGGGGGGGGAAACCCCCACCCGGGGAGGTGGCACGGAGAAAGGAGAAGCGCTGGGTAGAAGGCACCTCTGGATTTGGGGGGACAGTGCCTGAAGCCACAAGCAAGGCTGGAACATGGGCCCGAGGGCAGGATTTGCCCCACAACAGAGGGGGCGTATTGTAGGATGGCACAGAGGTGGGATGGAGAGTCGGAGATGAGGAGCAAATGGGATTGGGGAATGCGCAGCTGTTTAAGGGGAGAGCTGTTGGGAAGTAGGTCTTGTGCCCCTGGCGGAGTATGCGCAGACACTTTCTCTTGGGCCCTGAGGAGAACTGGGTTTCCTCCTCTTTTGAAAGAACCTCACAAAAGCTGGACACGTCTGCAATCTTACACTCGCTTCTCAGTCAGTCCCGTGCAGCGGCCTGCAGAACACAGCATCTTTCTCTTGCCACCACTGATCTGGGATTAGGAAACCCGTGAAAGGAAGTGTCTGGATGGATGCTAACTTCTCATGCCAGGCACCAACTTTACACATCAAGGATCGCCTGGTCTCTATCCTGTTTGCCTTCCCAGCTACCCTGTGAAGTAGCTGCTGCACAGTTATCCCCATTTTACAGAGGGTCTCCTCTGCAGCTGGACTGAGAGTGGAGGGGGACTTTCCCCAGAGGTGGGATTTGCGCTAAGAGGCAAACAAATAACTGCTGGTTAACTGGGTTATGCGCTGCGGTGGAAAGAGCCTCCATTCCTTCTACTGTGTTTGTCACTCCTCCACTTCCCCGTGAAAAACGCAGGAGGCAGCTTTACATCTTTGCAGGCATCTCATGTTTTATGTTAGGCTATGACTGCTTTTCTAAAGAGTTGGGGAGGATTTAAAGGGAGGCGAACCGAAGAAGCAAAAGGTGGAGGGGGAAAAATAATAGACACCCTGAAGAAGCCGGCGTTAGGAGCCCCCACCTAGGTCCCTGCCCCCCCCCCCCACTTAAAGAGCCAGTTTCCCTTGGCGTGAGGAACTCCGCCTTCTGTTTCCCAGCGTGCCTTGCAGGGAATAGGAAAGAGAAAGAAGGAAGGAAAGTCCTGAAGTGGGAGGGAAAAAAGTAAGTATAGCTGACAGAATTCAGGGCTGGGAGCGAAGGGGATTCTAAGAAGGGGGCGGGTGGCGGGAAGGGAAGGGAAGGGAAGGCCGGCGAGGAAGTGTCGGAGCAGGGGACTGACAACGGAAGGGGTTACTGGGGGCGCCTTGGGACGTGAGGCTGGGAAACAAGGGGGCTTGGAGGGGTTTACATTTGTTGTCATTCCAGAGACTGGTTCGGTGTAGTTTACGCGCACGCACGCACACACACTTAAACAAACGCTTGCTCCTCCTGTTGCGTGGCTGAGCAAGACTCATTATATCGTTAGTTGCAGAACTTGCTAAGAAGCGGATGGACTTTGGGGGAGCTGCGAGGGAGCGGTTTCCCATGAATTTTGACCTCAGGCATCTAATTTTCTCCTGTCGTTTAAACTGGCACTAATTGCTCCATTATTTCCATATTATCTGTTTACCAAGTTAAAGCCATCTGTTTTCCATGACTATTAAAGTGAAATTGGCTTTTCAGTCTGATTAGCGCAATGTGTTTGGTACTGCATTTTGTTTCGATTTATTATCTCTCCAGGTTTAAGTTCCTGGGTTATATAAATTATTGTACTTTGAAATACCGTCAATTCCTCCAAACAGGCTTTCCACTTAAAAAGCTTCAACAGATTCCAGAGAATGCGTAAGGCATGCCAGTAGGCGGGTGGGGTTGGCTTTAGCAAATGGAATTTGTGTGCTTGTGAATATGAATAATAATAATAAACCAGAACTTGACTGAACACTTTTACACCCTGTGGTATTACAGAATTGACATAAGGCCTACTTCACACACATACCAAGCTATAGCTTGATTAACCAAAGTTCGGTAAACCGCAGTTGCAAGCCATAGTTTACAAACTACATTGAACGTTTCAGATGTTGTGCTAAGCCGAAGCCAAACACATCACATTTTGGCTCAGGGCAATGCAAAATCTCAGGTGCTATGTTAACACTGCAGGTGCGCAGAAATATTTTTCTGTCCAGAAACCTGATACGATGAGGATAATATATTCTAGTTAATGAGCAGAAGTTAAATCACAGTTTCCCAGTTCAGGTGAAATGGGAGATTCTCGGTTAAGTAAGTTATGATACATCAGTTGCAAATCCACATGAGGGAAGAGGAAAAAGGGTAGCAGCAAATGGCTTTCCAGTCCGGCATACTTACATCTGAATCAGACCAAAATAATCAGGAAATGCGCTGTCCAGAGAGGAGGCTCTGTTGATGCAGAGAACTAAGCAGTCTGCGATCCCGAGGAGCCAAACCAGGGTCTGGATGGGGCCACTCTGGGCAATAAAAGAGATCCGCGTGACTGGATGCTTCCGTGCCTCCCTCCCTCCAAGTCCAGCCCATAGAAAGCTGAGACTAGACGAGAGGTCCTCTCTCTGACCAACAATAGTTTGCTGGGCGCGGGGTCTATTTTCCGTACAAGAGCACTCAGTCACGTGAGCTGTAACCTGCGGACTGAAGTTGCAGTGCCCGGATGCCGGGTTGTTACCAGAGAGAGAAATGGATCCGAGGTACTAATGTACAGTATCTGTCTCTCCAACACAATGCGCTCGCCTTTCCCCTGTGCTCTCCCCTTTGCTTTATCCTTGCCTCATTTACATACCACTGTACCCACTGCCTCTTTTGAGGTTTTCTCTTGCAATTTATGTATTTTTGGTTCTGTCCCTTTTCTTTCCCCTTCCCTGTGCTCCAGCTCTTCTGAAAAGCCGAAGCTGATTCCCAAAGAGAGAGGACTTCTCGATTGCGGCAGTCATGGCCCCCAATAAAGACGCCTCTGGCTGCCTTGGCTCACCCCCAGGCTTGATCTGCTTGCCGCCCATCTCTGAGGACCTCCAGCTGGTGTGGACCCAGGCAGCCCAGACCAGTGACCTGGATGGCAACCAGCACCTGCTGCAAACCTTCAGCTACTTCCCATATCCCAGCCTTTCTGACCTGGCTCTGCTCTGCTTGCGTCACGGCCTGCACATGGAGAAGGTTAAGGCTTGGTTCATGGCACAGCGGCTGCGCTGTGGCATCAGCTGGAGCGCCGAGGAGATCGAAGAGACTCGTGCTCGTCTCATCTACCACCAGGACCAGCTTCACTTCAGTTGCCTGCTTACTGGGAATGAGAGTGACTCCTGGCACCAGACTTGTAAAAGCCCATCGTACCACCAGCTGGCTCCCCACTCTCTGCACTACTCCAGTAAATATCCAGAGAACCAGCAATCTTCTGTAACTTCCTTAAATCATTGTAACGCAGCTCAAGGAGCAAGGGAACTTGGGAGGATTGCTCAGGACATTTGGAAATTGAAGGAAAATGCCTCATCCCACCATAAGAAACCTCAGGAAAATTGTGAACCTTCAGGGATCATTGTGAATTTTCAGAATACCAAAGACACTCTTTCTGGTGCTTATCCACCCATCACAACTACCAGCCGGGACCAGAATTCCCATACTATGGCATGGAGCCTCCCCGCAGCGTCCCGACCGCAAGTTGAGTCCATCACGCCTGCAGTTAATGGTGGGCCTCACCCAATGATTCTTCCGCTGGGTTCTTCCATTAAAGTTGCCCCCTCCTCCTCTAAAGTGGCAGCCGGCATTGCTAACTCAAGCAACCGACAGAACCATCAGTACTCTGTTGGTGACCAGCATGCTTCAGCTTCTCTGCCAGATGTTTTACGGAAACCTAGGCGGAAGACAAAAGAACAGCTGGATGTATTAAAGTCCTTCTTCCTCCATCAGCAGTGGGCCAGGAGAGAGGATTATCATCAGCTGGAGAAGATAACTGGGCTACCACGAGCAGAAATCATCCAGTGGTTTGGAGACACGCGTTACGCCCTGAAACATGGCCAGCTGAAATGGTTTCGGGACAATGCGGGGCAGAGTCCAGAGCCTGCTTCCTCAGGGCCTCCTCATCAGCTGTGTACAAACCATCCAGATACGAGCCCGCTGGAACACTATTGGGCCACGCACGTGCAGTTGCAGGAGAACGACTTGCCAGTGCTCTGCCACAAATCAGGAATGGGAGCGGAGCAAGTGCTGAAGTGGTTTCACTCACATTTGCCAGCCCCCTGCGAGGTAGAAGTGTGTTTGGGAGATGAGGATGAAGTAGATGAGGAGGTGGCTGCAGCAATGATAAAGGTGGAAGATGAAGACTATTATGAAGAAGATGAGGATGTTGAAGATGAGGATGAGGATGAGGAAGACTGGACTGCTTAGAGCTTTAGTGTGGATGCTGGCGACTTTGGACTTCTCCAGTGAGCATGTGGAAGGATCAATGAGAAATAGTAAATCTTGTGAGCAAGGTTTCCACTCCAACAATTTCCTGCTGTTAGCAGTGCCCCCACACCCTTTATGTTCTAGAATCTTGTTTTTTTTTTCCATTGAGCCTCTGAATTTAAATGCAAAAATTGTTCTATTTTCATTCAGTGCTTATCAAGTCGGAATCAAGGTGGTATTAGAAATGGGGCTTCCAACCCTTTAGACGTGAGTGGCCATAATACTGAATTACCCTTCAGTAATCTGCTGGGTTTCAAATAATTTCTTTGATAAAACTTTCATCAGTTAATTGCATTTCTTGATTTCATATTCGTTTCCTCTAGAATCATATTGCATTTTTCTTTCTCATTAATTATAAATTTGTGGTTTAGACCACTGTCACTTAAACCCTAGAGCCCAGCACTGCCCAACTATAAATTTGTATTTCTTCTCATTATAATGAGGCTTGGAATGCAAACATCCTTACTCTTGGATGCACCTGTCTTGATTCTGTTTGTTCCAATTCATTTATTTATTTTTATTCTTCCTTCTAGATTTGAAGTCGGATCATTCATTACAAGAGTTGCCAAGATTTGGCCCTTTCCAGGCAACCCCTCTTTCAAATTCCATGAAAGTCATACATAATATTTGACTAGTCTAAGTTCATACAACAACTATATTTTATTCTCCTGAGTGAAGGAACAGTTTAAGCAATTATTTGCTTGTCAATGCTTGTGTTTTGTTTAATAAGCCAGTTCTTTGACATCAAAGAAGTATAGAAGACAGACTAAGGCTTTTTCCTGTTTTCATGCCTTCCAGATATGTTGGGACTTAAAATGTCAGTTGCTAGACTGGTACTTAAGATGGTGATTGTAGATGTTTATTCAAATTAATATTTTGTCACTTATCTTCCATTTTCATTCTCTGTTTCGTTTTTTAAAAAATCATTTTTGGTACATCTTCCTTATCATGTGACTTTCACATCATTTTTCTTGGTTGTTCTGCTATCTTTTCCTTGTTCCATTAGTGCCTTGATTCACCAGCTTTCCCTGCCATCCAGTTTCTTCCTTTCAGGTCATATATCTGTTCTGTACTAGTTGGTTGATGTAGTGGACTGAATGCCATTTAGAGATAAAGTAAGATAAAAAGGGTGGGCTCTTGCGAAAGAATTGCAAATATTGGAAAACACTGCTGATTGCTTGGTATCTTCATTTCATTTGTCAAACTGTCATTATCCCGAGATTGAGGGGAAGATAAACCCATACGTTCTGAAAATAGCTTTTGATACTAATTTGAAAGTGATGAAGGTAAAGATGAATTTGGAGGTTTGTGAAAGTATGAAGAGGTAGAAGACTAGACAGAGGGAGATTAATCATCTGTATTTTAAAAATTCTATTTATTAAATCTCATTTTCAATTTTTTAAATAGACTCTCTACAAAAATAGCATCTGCCTCTCCAGGCAGGAGAATCTAAAAGTACTGAAATAAGCTAATCAACCTTAGATAAAGAGAAGGTGGTGTGTGGACTGTACTGCACTTAGTGGAAAGTTCAAAGACTTGTCCAAAATGGAGCTAAGTGGAACAATCTGATTTGTGGATTGATTACTCAATAAATGGCCATGAATTAATAGATAATTATGTTCAGTAAATTATATCTGTCTTTTTCCTCTTTCTAAGAATAGCCTTTTTTAAGGTTTACCTGTTATGTTTCAGTCTGGGAAGCAAACTTGGTTGCAAATAAAATAATCTTATATTATGTGCAACCTGGATCAAATTGTTTGAATATTTCATCTTGGAGTTACACAATGCATTTTAGCTCAGAAAACATAAAACGTAATGTATGTTCTTCTTAGCAAATAAACCTAGTCACAAAGTAAGATTGGAACTAGGACCCACAGGTTACTTAATGTGTTATAACTGAAAGTTAAAACACTGTGTATCAATAATGCTACAGCCAAGTTCACTAGCTACAGTTTTAACCATTTTCCTCAAACAAAGACTTTAGAGGGATTTTAAAATAATGTCACATATACTAAATACCATAAACATATTTTGTGTTGTATAATTAAGAATTTTATTTATATATTTATTTATTTACTATGGTTTGTATAACAGTCAGCTTCAAACAACTCTGAGTGGCTTACCTCAAGTAACAAAAAAACATTAAAATAGAATCTTAATAATCAAAACAATGTCCCCTAATGGCACCACTCAGTTACTAATGGATTGCTTTTTAACCAGGCTCAAGTATTCAAAGGATTTATACTATAAAAAGTATGGACAGAAGAATCTATCTTAGCCGCTACAATGATGTTTAAGAGAAGAGTTGCCTTGGTCATCCCCATTATTGCTGGTGGACTTGGCTGATGGATGAATACCTGGGAAAAAGAACAATTAGCTAGTTGAATGGAGCCCGTCTTCCCCGTTTAGTACTGTATTAAGCTCTGATCACTGTTTAGTTTTGTTCAACAAAAGTATATTCTAACTTCTGATTATGATTTGCATTTCTAACATGCTACAATTTTAGTTTAGAAGAAGACATAAAGAATGAAAAATTGGGACTTTGTTTCTTTGGATGATGCCATTAAGGCTTCTCAAAAGGAAAGCTGAGACTTTATGAAATCGGCAAAACAGCCCAATTTAGCATTTGTTTTAACAGCAACATTTTCAATATTATTGCATCTTACTGTTTTTGGCAAGGGTGATGAAAACTAAAAACTTCCAGAAAGGTTAGAGCCAGTCAGGGGAGGGGGGAGACCATACTTTCACCTGGATGTGAATTATATTCATGGTCTTTCACAAAGCTCTGTTATGTAGCATGTGAAAGGGAGAAAATGAAAAATCCAAGTGTGTCCCACTTACCTGTGGGGAAAAGATGGTGTAGAGTGAGGTGTGAATCCCAGCTGAGAATGACAGAAAAAGAAAAGGAATTGAAACGTCTCAGATGAAGCTTTTCCTTAGTCTGTACTCCCTGTCTACAATCTGTCTTTTACCTGTATGTTGCGCAGCCTTTCAGGGTTGCGGTGGTCTGGCACAGGAACACCTGTCGGATCTGTAAAACAAAAGCAATAGGAAACTGAGCATTAGAGAGTAAATCATGTAGGAATCCAAGGGTTATCCTAACACCTTAGTCAATTTCTGGATTTGGATTTCATGCTAAGCCTTTGTGTGTCTAACCATTCTGGAATACATAATCAATGCCAGGGTTTAAATTTGCACAATATACTATGGAGGGGGCAGGAGTGTTGAGAGCCATGTGCCTAAAGAAAAGAGAACTAGGACAAATAAGTGAGGGAGGTTAGGACACAAAATAAATAAGCTTTACTTTTATTTAAAAGAAAATACAGTTAATGGGATTATTCCTTGTATATTTATGGTTCCCCTTTTGTTACCTTAAACATTACAGTTCTGTGACAACTTTGGGAATCACTCAAGTTAAATCCAGTGCTTTGGGATTCATATGTAGCCCTTGGGCCTTAGATGGTACACTGTTGTTATTTACAGATCATTATGATCAAGTTCATACAGGAAGCTAGATCACAACCAAATCATACAGTTACGTACAGTATATGTAACAAGTCATTATTGTTGTACCGACTTGTGCTACAGAGGATTACAGCATGTTGTGATGAATAGTACTGTGTTACTGCAGGAAAAGAATATGGAATAAATGTGTATTAGCTGAAGAGGAACTCTTTCCTCACCAGGAAAGATGCTGAGGTTGAAGTATGGAGCTTCCTGTGGCTGCCCAGTATTATTAGCACTCTGACTTAGTCTCGCCATGGGGGTTTGAAGACTGAAGACATTGAAGCCGGGGGTGTGGGAAGAGGAAGGAGAGGCCCTGAAAGGAGGAAGGAGGGAAGAGTGACAGAAGTCCTGATTGCTGTGGAAGACAACACTAAATCTTTTTAACTTTTATATGGTCATATAACACCATCATCAAGGCTACCCCCCCTTCCCTGACTCACCTGTAGAATAAACTCTGAGTGGAGGCTGGAGAAGGGGTGGCTGCCAAATAGAATGCAAAGGTGTTACACCTGAAATGAATGGTGGAGAGCACATGGAAAGGTGATAGGAAGTATAAGGTTAGGTATGTGGGAAATGGGTATCTAGGGTGAGGACTAGATCAGAGAGAAATTTTGTTCATTACAGAGACAGAACATTATTTCTCTTCAGAATTGAATTAATTCTGTTCCAAATAATAAACTCTGAAGTGATCCTTGTCTGCAGAACTGATACCTTGGAAGATTCTTGATTTTGTTACCCTTAGCTCTGTGTTGCCACAAGCCTAAATATGGCAGAAATTTACTGTTTGCTGACAATTACAATTCTTACCATTTGCAGAGACAGCTGGGGTCATTCTGGTGGGTCTTGTGGCATGCTGAATAAAAGTGAGAAAAGGTTTTAAAGGAATTTTCATGCTAAAAGGGCAACAATTAAAATATTCAGAAACATCTTAGATCTAACACTGTTAACTGTTAAGTCTTGCAGATAAGTCAGTCTTGGGCTTTCAGAACTCCCAGTGAAACCTCCTTTTCAACCATATTACTGCTGTCTTCTTGCTAAGGCAACAGTTCTGCCCAAGCCATGTGCAGCCAAGCATAAGTCTTAGCTAGCCCAGGATGTTTTGTATCCAAAGAGAGCTTTTGGGCAGATGGTATCAGTGGTTCTTTATTCTCAAAATTACTTGAAATGACTGCATGAAACAAAGCAATATATCCATTATTTCACTTTCCTGGGAAAAGAAAAGCAATGGCAGAAACTAACCTGCCAGCTTGATAGGTGGCTGACTCTAGAAGAAATGGAATCCATAGAAGGCGAGCGGCTGTGAGAGAGGCACAACATGTCAGGGAGCGATCACTAGAAAAGCTAGTGCAGGTGCACAGTACCCATATGTGGCCTTTTAAGTGTAATATTCAAATTTTGCTGTAAGGGAGCTGGACTGAAGGGATAATGGTCATAGCAAAGAGATTCTAAGGTATGGAGTGGAATGCTGATTTTTCTAAGAGAATAAAAGGCTGCTTCTACTCTTCAGTTCTGAGCAAGCTCCTAAAGCAGGAGTAAGCAATCTTTCAGGATCTGGAGCACATTTAAAATTTTGGCTGCCACGGGAGACTTGCCTGTTCATAAATTGGTAGCCATAGCCCAAAAACACCTTTCGCCAGAAAACAAACTAGCCATTCAGGATGTTTTTTCTGGACTTTTACTTGGGACTTTTGTGTGGTCCTAAGATACTTCTTTAAGAGGTATACTAGAATGTGGGATTTTGCTTTGCAGCATGCCAGCTTATTTATTTCCATATTTGATAGTTTCTGCAAAAACTGCCCAAGAGTTTTTGGTAGAAACTATCAACAGTGTAAGTCACCCGTAACTAAAATATTTCTTCACGCACTTACCTGACCACCTCACTGGAGCGCTGGAAAATTGGTTGTGGTGTAACTGCAAAGTATGAGGTAGTGAGTTACTACGTAGTCAGAGTTAATTCTGCTAGAGGTACACGTTGGCTTGAGACAGCAAGAGAGGTTATACTTGGATATATCTGTCCATATCCTACATCGCTCTCAGAGACCTATGCAGGTTTTTATGTATGTACAGCATTTTTTTCTATCAGGTAAACATCCATATATTTCTGTCCATGCACATATATGCACATTCACAAAATGTTACCCTGAGCGAAATGAAGTGATTCAGGATCCTTATCTTTCTACCTGTCTGTGACGGGGGAGTGATGGCAACCGGCTTTGGGGTGCTGTTTCTGCATCAAATTAAAATGAGTTTGATCAGTTAGTATAACTCCTCCTCCTCCCCACCCCCATAAATATTGGCCCAGAAGGTTTTTTTTGTTTTCTTTTTTTTTGTCCTGTGGTTTCAGTGCTGCCCTATGGCTCAAGACCCAGCTCCCTCATTTTCCATGAAGATCTATTACTGCCTCTACTTCACAGGCTGCCGATTCTGATGAATATTCCAAAAGGACAGAACAGACACACTGACCTGCTACCTTGGTGATGTCTCGGAAAAGCCTGTAGAAAGAAGAGGAAGGGTTTGCGGTAAACAGCTGGGCCCCTAACATGCAAAGGGGTTTGATTTACTCTCTCCTCCTAGACAAATAAGGAGAAGAGCAGGACTCATTGCTGCCAGCAGAGGGTGTCAAGAACCAAATAAGGGAAAAATATAATTTGTTTCCACCAAACTGTTCTACCTTCAAGTTGAAGTACTTCTTCTTCAGTTCCCTATTCTCCTTCTGTATTGCCTCTAGTTCTCTACATATGGGAGTGACAGGTAGGAGAAACAGAAAGCAGATGATAATATGCCTTGATGCTTTAGAGCCCACTAGAGAACACTTCAGCAGTGATGAGAACAAAGGTAGGAGGTCTGCCTCTGGGCCATGCAAGCTACTAGTTTCACTTCACAAATTATCAACGTGTTCTAACATCTAATGGCTAATATCAGAAGGGAGCAGAAGCCTGGAGTCTTCTTTAGAAAAGTATGTAGCCCTATTTGCTTACCACAGTTCTTATCTCCATCAAAAATAAAACAACCATTTCTTTCCACAGATTAGGACAAGTGAAGGATATTTCCAATGACTTCATTGAATAACTTTCCTTTGGGGTAGAGGGAAGGAGAAGGAATGGCTTTCTGGATATATGAACAGAAAAAAGAGTTTCCATATTTTAAGTAAACAGCCCAGTGTGGTACGTTAACCTAAGAAGGCACGATGGAGCTTTGATCAACCAGTAAGATTCTTAAATGAGTGAGAATATGAAACTGGATCTTGTTAGCAGAATCTCATTAACTTTGCTAATCCCTACAGATATAACTAACAGGCTGCCTTCACACAGTATGCTAAGCAGGTCAGTGAAAGACCTAGCAGCTGTATTTGCACAACCTGCTAAGCTTATGTATTTTGAATCTTGGTTAGGTTCTTTTTGTGGCTAAGGGGGTCTTATGAAGCAGCTTATTTGGTTCATATAGAATATGCTCAGTATATTATGTGACCCCCAGAGAAGAGGATAATTCAGTATTCATACTGTGTTGTGTAAATACATTTATACTGTTTTCCTTCGTTATGTGAACACAACCTGCATATCTCACTTTTCCTGGATAGTTAGTTTGTGGAGAGCTTGCTGGAGCGCTCCTTCAGCTTTTGAAGCATTATTTTTGTAGAACGAGACCAGCAGCTCCATCTGGCTCTTCTGGAATGTCCACACCTAGAAAGAAGACCCAAAGGGAGTGAGAGAGATGGATTTCAAGGGAATTCAGCATCTGGTCTGATGACTCTAACTCATTTAGGGAGATAAGAAACAGCATGTAGAACCTTTAGGTCATTGCTCAGAGTGGAAGACCTCCCTTGTACATGGATGGTACAGGACCAGTGCCTACAAATCAGAGTAGGCTTGTGGTAGGAAGCCTTTGCCATTCTAAATGTTATGAAATCTAACATTTTCAACAGATTTCAACTAGGATGGCCAGTAGTAAGGGTTGATAGGAAATTTGGTCCAACAACATCTTTCCCGGATTGGAAGGCCCTGCTCACAGTCATTCATGCCTTGATCACCTTTCTTTTAGATTGCTGTAATGTTGTTAAGAGTTGACAATGACTTGATGACACATAATCAGTGTGCTGTGCCTGGGGCTACCCTTGCAGACTCTCTAGAGGCTTCAGCTGAGAACTAAATTGGTCACCAGTTTCCTTCTGGTTGCAACTCAGTGTGCTGGTTTAAAGCCCTATATGGCTGAGGTCTTGTTATCTATCACCTTCTCCAAGTGGATTATGCCTGCCCAATAAGACTGTAAAGAGTGGGCTCTCTCTGGATCCTCTTAAGGCATATCGTTTTCAGGGACCCAGAGATAAGTCCTCTCAGCTGCACCCCCTTCTCTGGAGCACCATTCCTCCTGAGATCAGATTGGTTCCCACCTTTTTGTTGGGGGAAGCCCTTAGGAGTAGATTTGTAAGGATAGCCATCCTCCTGATAAGGATTTGGATGCTGTTAATTGCTCCTTAGGGCACTGATGTTTTGTTTTGGTACTATTTGAGTACTATTCTTACTCTAATGTTTGTATTATTTTGTAAGATGCTTAGTGCCTTGTTTGAATTAGAACTGGCATGTAAATGGCAACAAACAACAACCACAGATTCTCCAGCACTGGAACAGTCTAGTAGCTGAGTAGAAGGACAAATGGTCTAATAGTATTTTATATATTCACTTTAATATTCCATCCAGTCAGGGGTGTGATCTATGTTCTTTGTTTGCAAGACATATAGTATATAGAACAAGCAGTTCAGAGTTTGTGTACTGTACCTAAAAGCTGTAAACGAGCAAGGTGATATGAATAATATCCACAAGGTGAGTTGAATGATAGCAAGGAATCTTGCAGCGGCTTAAAGTCTAACCAATTTATTGTAGTATAAATTGTCTCAGGCTACATTTCCTGCCTGTTTCCTTCTCAGTTATCCCCAAAACTGTTTTTAAACCATGAGAAATTAAGAATTGGCTTAAGATTTGAATATCTGGCACGTGTGTCATTGTTGCTCGAGACTGTATTTTAGGCAACTGCATGCCTGATTTATAGAAAAAAAGTCATTTATAAGAAATAAGTAACAACTGACCACAGCCTAGTTATAGTGCATTATGAAAACATGTCATAGCTCTGAACTAAAAACTACAGTAACTTAAACATGGGTGCTTGTTATACAAATGTAACAACTACCTAGAATATTGAAATAATGGCATGCAAAGCTATTTTTAGGCTGAGAAAGAGGTAAGAAATAAATAACTCCCTGAGAACAATGGAAATGCAGTAATTAAAATATTTGTCCCTCAGAATTTTTTTATCTTTACTTGGGACAAAAAAAACTTCTAACTTTTTTCCAACTTTTGGAATTCCCTCCCATATGGTTCCCACTTGGCGGTTATGTTGCCGTTTTTTCAGCAGCAGGGGGAGCCCATTATTTTTCCCAGGCCGTTAATGGTTTAGAATAAGGGATACAATGACTGTTTTATCATTATTGTAATTAATTATATGATACTTCCATACTTTTATTTTTTGTAAACTACTCTAGGAAATTCCCATTTTAAAATGTGATGTATAAACACTCATGTGAATGGATGAAAATAATGTGATGCTATCTAAACCAGTATCTGCACATATGTGTGTGTTTCGCGCTCAGGGATGAATTTTTGGGTTCTTGGTGTTCTCTGAGTTTGCTTTTTTCTCGCAGACCAAGTTACTGAAATTACAAGAAGAGTTATTTCCATGCAATTGCAGAGTGCTGTTCTCAACCATCCCTTCTTTCTTTTCACCCCTTTGAGGCCAAACTTTTATTATGAAAAGCAAGATTATATCATATCCTTGATAGCAGTCTAGCACTTAGAGCTGGTCTTGCACAAACATAAAAAGGAAAGATTTTTGTCATGTCCAGTCATTTTCTAAGTAAGGGTGGTCTGTCTTTTATCAGAGGTCTGCAGAATACTGGACACAAGCTAATAGTTTTGCCCATTTTCTTGGTCTTAGCAGAGAAGAGTTCAGTTAAGTGATTTAATTGTGAGAAAATAAATAAAAACAATTTTTGAATGGAAGTAGAATAAAATACAGATCCATTCCCTCTTTAAAGGTTCCTCCCCTCCTCTTCATCTGAGTGCTAGGCTATCTAGTTTAAGAAATGGGGTTAGGATGATGATTACCATGGTGGATTTTAACGCTCAGGTATTGCTGATTTTGCTGAAACTTTTTTTGATGATTAACTGGCCGGTTACAATATTTATCTGGCTCCTTTATCTAGATTTATTATTGTAATTAATTAGCTTACTTAGCAAATGGGGACCACTATTACTATTAACCTTTCCCCAGATTGGTTATTAACCAGTCCTCTAGTGGACTTTGGATCATTCATCCATCATGCAGCAGCTATTAAAAATGGAGTAAAATGTATCTTAATTTTAGGGAAAATGTTTGTCTTGTTTGACTAGGAAATTAGTTCCTCAGTGTTTTCCTTCATGATTGGACACAACTCCCAACACTTTAAGCAGGTCAGGATGACTTTCAGTATTACACATCTTCTTTCCCTTTCTTTAAGATATACTAACTTTCCTGAAAAAATACTATAAATTAAATCTTTGCTGCTGTTTTTCTTAACTGTTTCAATCAGTGTCCCCCTTTTTAGGAACTAATATGAGAATAGTAGTAGAGAGACTTTATTTCGGTCATTGACCAATAAAAATACATTCTATAAAACAATAAAAGTACATTTTATGATGATATAACCCTAAATGATTTCTTACCTGAGAGATATGAGCAATATAGTTGAGTGCTGTTTCAACAGGGTTTTTGAAAAACTTCTTTTCTTCTTGTTTCATCTGAAGGCCAGAAAAGAAGACAAAGGGGAGATAAGGGCTAAATTCTTTATAATCTAAAAGGCTAAACAAACTGAAATTTTCAGCGATTATTTGATTGATTGTATATCTGAAATACGAAGTTTCCAATATTATTTCACTAACTGAATTATCTCTGTCCAGCCACTCTGTCAATCTGAATTCTTATACACATAATTTTGGATTTTTAAAATTTTTACTAATGTCAGTATATTTCTTGCCTTTCTTCCAAGGAGCTGATGGTAGTATTGATTAAGAACACCACCTTTGGCTCATTGAAAAAAGAGCAGTAAAAATATACTGAAATAAGTAAAAAAATTTTAATCCATTTTTTTCTCTCATCTTTAGCTTTATAGAAGCCCTCTTAAGTAGGCTAGACTAAGATATAGTGACTGATTTCATATAATTCAGTGCACAACGTTGCTGAGCAGTATTTGAATATGTTTCTCCATAATATCATTGAAATACATAATGAGATCTCTATTGCCAGGTACCTGAAATTACTTTTACAAATTGAAAGTACACAATAAATCATTGTCAGGTTTTCAGGAAACTCTTCTTTTGTTTGGCTTCTTATAAATTAATATTTATCAACTTTTTCCTACCTTCACTGCTCTATTAAACTCACTGTTTAAGACTCAGATGGTAATTTAAAAAAAAAAAAGATTTTCTTGCTTTTTATAATTTAAATATTTCACACATTCACCCAATTGGTTGGGATATAAAGTCTGAGTTCAGAGACACCAAAAAGAAAAAAGGTAAGAATCTTTCTTACAGAAACTAGAACTTACATTATCTTTTAGAGACAAATATTTGCAGCTTGTTCCACAAGAAGGGCATTTATCTACCAAGATTAAAATGTAAAATGTATTACTATGACATTGAAATTTTTCATATATAATATTGTCTGAAATTGCAAAAATGGATGACTTTTCTAAAATTATGAAGCAGTTTCCAAAATGTTTAGATTCTCTTTAAAAGGATTGTTATATTATTTCTGATCTCTTACCTTTTCAACTGTTAAGGGCTAAACTTTCCTAGAAGGATTCATCTTGTATATGAATGCAAAATATGTCTGATAACTCTACATTTTTATTTATTTTTATTTATACATACTTATCCCCGCCCATCTCCCCGCAATGGGGGACTCTGGGTGGTTTACATCAAATTAAAAC